GGTATTTATCCGATCTCTCAGGACTGTCTGTGGGGAGGGTGTGGGGGGGGGGGCAAAAGCAAGAAAAAAGAAGTTAATCAAATAACTAATCAAATACTAACAAGTCGATGTAATCTTGTTATTTATATTCTTTATCGTTCCACGTTAGTGTTCAATTATCACTGTACGTACTCACTCACATTCCCTCTCATAGTCTATGACTGCCTGATACGAATAGACCATTAATATGGCACCTGAAAAAAGGACACGGGACCAAAACAAATTCCTTCTTGAGAGTTTGTTTGAGCGCAAGATTGCCTTATAGCGTCGAAGCGCTTCTCTGTCTTTGACACAGAACAAAAGATTAAACTTCTTCAAACATTCCCAATACAAACGCATAAAGCTTGCTCTCTGTTCCAGCTATCAGACTGGATGGCGTCAAGCTCACAGGTTACACAATTTGGTCCCTCATGGACAATATTTCCTGGACCGCCGGGTACGATCGGAGATTTGGCCTGTTTAGCGTCGACTATGACAGCTCGAACAGGACTCGAACCGCACGCACCTCGGCATCCTTCTATCAGCAGCTCATCAAAGACAACGCCTTTATCAAGCCGACTCCTGCTAACTAGATGTCGTGTTCGCAGGCGCTACTGAGATTTGCTGGAAACATGTTCTTACTCTGACTGCACTGGACTAAGACCTGTCACATTCAGCTCACAATATGAGATCAGTCTATTAATATACGTGTCTGTACGAGCGAGCAAATGAGAATGAAAAACAGAAAAAAAGATAGAAAGATCAAGAGAACGAAAGATAGACAGACAGATAGGCAGACAGATTGAGGGTGTCTATTGAGGTGGGTGTGCCTGTGTGTTTCTGCCTATGTGTGTGTCTTTGTGTTGGAGTGGGAGTGGGAGTGGGGGGGATGTTTTTGTATAAGTGTGCCTATATGTGTGTCTATGTGTGTATGCTTGTGCGTATGGGTGTACGTGTACGTGTGTTTGTGTTTTTGTGTGTATGTATGTGTATACGCCAATGTGTGGGGTCATCCCTAGTGTATTCAGAGACTGCAAGAGCTACACTGTGCTGCATGAACACACCATGTAGGTCTTGATGTACGCCTCTCCTCGTCAAGAAATAAACAGAGATTTACATATTGATGTTGAGTTCGAGTTTCCGGTGGTTCCAAAGGCGTAACTTTCGAAATTACCAACAGCACGTACTCTTCTTCTTCATCGTGTTCAGATGTGAGTTCTGGAGTAGAAATCAACGATCACGGTACCCCACTCCTTACTGTTGTCTGCCTTCCTGTTAAGCTCGATTTTTATCTCATTGAGTCATTTGTTGAAAGGTTGTTCAGGCCATACGTGTATGTTGTTGTCTGTCCTCCTCTGGTCTTCCTTTCCTCCTTCTCTCCACACCGCAGCAGTTTCTCTTGACTGTTTGTTCTATTTATGTGGCCATAGAATCCCAGTGTAGTTGCCTCTTTTTGGTGGATCTGAGTGTATAAGCCTTTCATAACTTGCCATTTGGGGCACGTTTTGTGTTTGTTTTCTTCTGCCCATGAGATTCTGAGTATTCAGTTTCAGTTTGGTAAAAGTTTTACGGCGCTTGCAACTGCATAAGCGCGCTCTGGCTATTCTTCATAGATACCACATTTTGGCGACTCCCAGTCTTCTTTCTGTGTTTAGAGTTCCTCTCTAACAATTAATATATAGGAGCGCTCCCTTAGCTCAGTAAGTATTATACTGGACTATGAGCAGACGTCCTTCGTTCGAATCCCAGACTGAGCGTTCTTAAACTTGGGTGCGCTTTGTGGAGTTTTCTAGGCCCTCAACCTATTCAGTTAGGTCTTATCGGAGACGGACGTTAAATTCGAAGGTTCCGCCTCTTCGATAATCTAACACTTTTGATAAGGGCGTAAAACCCACACACTTACTTCTACTGCACCGATACAGCACATAAAGGACGACGCGAAACATTTTTAAAACAGGAAGTGAGTCCCCCATCTCCCCACCCAACCACATACTCCCACTATCCAACCCTCACCTCCTACTCCACCTACATCCCCACTTCCAGCACACCCCCCTTTTTTTTTTTTACTTAATATGTATTGGGGAGTCACAAACAGATACACAAAGAATAGTCAACCCAAATACACATCTTCTCTGATTGTGAAAGAACAGCTTTGTGTTGTGTGTGTGAGTGTGTGTGTGTGTTTGTGTGTGTGTACGTGTGCGTGTGTGTGTATATGTGTGCGTATGTCAGTGTGATTAACTTTGGTAATGAGTGAAAGATAATGGATGGGCAAACAGATGCACTGAATGGAGACCGAGAACAGGAAAAAGATCAAGAGGAAGACCAGGAAGAAGATGACAAAATGACATCAGAGAGAGAGACAGAGAGAGAGAGAGAGTACAGGAACAACTTGGACACGAAAAACAGCCGATAGAACAGAGTAAAGGTCGTAGTTTGGGGGGGGGGGGGGGGGGCTACATCTCGCAGCGAACGGAAAACTCCAAAAAAGAAACCAAAAGGAAACTTTGGTGTATCGTCTGTTTCCTTTCTATTCTACTTTCTTTCGATTTATCCTTGGAAATATCCTAGTTTAAAAGATAAATTTAATTCTAATTATATTGTCTCTATGTGGGAAAGGGATATATAAATGCAATATAGTATTATTATTATTATTATTATATATTATTATTATTATTATTATTACTATTATTATTATTATTATTATTATTATAATTATTATTATTATTATTATTATTATTAAATGACTTGTGCCCCATCGAGGCAATATAGATCATTTAGGAGGTGAGCTGCTTCAACCCTGCCTGCTAGAGTCAACCCAGGCTGAGAGGAATGCATCGTCCCAGCAAACAGACGGAAATACTCGATAAAAAAATCCCCACATGGGAATCAAAATTTTGTCTTCTCCTTGCGACGCAAAGTACCTGATCTGGGGACCCAGTAGTGTTTTATACCTTGTTAGACTTGGGCAAAAGCAAACAAACAAGTAAGGATGTATCTTCGAGTTAGTTGGAAATTGACGTCATTAATCCTCTAGCACACAATGACAGGAAAAATAGGACCTATGCTGTTCTTATACCTGGATACCTGGAGGTGTCATCTCTGACTCCGAGGTTGACGTGTATTGACCCTCCGTCCTTCACAGTCGCGACCTGCCGTTGCACATTCTGACATAGCCATGCCAGTAAATGTTCTTATAATATTGTCTATCCATGTTATTCGTTGTCTTCCCCTGGCTCTACTGCCCCACAACTTTTCTTCAAGCACCTCTTTCACAATAGTCTCGTGTCGTTTTAAGTGGCTGTTATTATAAATGCATACAAATGACACATTTGAAGACAATTTGGTAGATTTATAATACTTGCCCCCCCCCCCCAACCTACAACCTACAAACAACAAATCAAACGAAGCTCACAACGATAACTAAACTTTCAACCAAATCTCTGATGGACATCGATCGTTCAAATAGTATGAACCAAGGAGCACGAGAGAGTTTACTGTTCCCAAGAAATCAAATTTGTTTCTTTTCTTCCAGCCATTAAACTGGATGGCGTCAGGGTCAAAGCGTACACAGTCTGGAGTCTGATGGACGTTCTGGAGTGGACCGGCGGTTACTCCGCTAAACTGGGCCTGCATCAGGTGGACTTCGACAGCCCAAACAGGACTCGTACCCCACGCGCCTCAGCCTTCTTCTATCAAAAAGTCATCAAAGATCATGGCTTTCCCAAGCCAGAGTCTCCATGACGTGCTCGCAGACTCAGCAGAGATGTTGTCCTCCACTGGGCTAGCGACAGGGAAAGAAGGGCAGAGGAAGACAGAGAACAACATACACTGAGGTTTTGAACAACTTAGTTACAAATTAAACAATGAGAAAAACCGAGCTGTCAGGAAAACAGACAATAGGAAGGAGTAGGGTATTATGATTGCCAATGTCTTCCCCAGACCTGGCTTTGCAAGAAGGAGAAGAAGAAGAAGAAGAAGAAGAAGAAGAAGAAGAAGAAGAAGAAGAAGAAGAAAAAGAATAGGGTTAGCACCAAAACCAATGTTGATAATGGGATATTGGCGCATACAGAATGTCCTGTAATAAACGGATGAATAATACATAATCAAACACCGAGTTTGCAGTTGTGGCGTGGTTTGCAAGTTGAAGACTGCAGTCAACTCCAACGGCTAGACACCCAAAACCAATAGCTGAACGCCCTTTCAATACTGTAAGGTCACTTCAGAGGCGGGACCTCCGAAGGGAAAATTCTGGCGTCTGCGGCGAAGCGGTTTGGCGCTTCTCTGTCGCTCCCAGGAGACCCCAAATCAAATCCCAAGTGGGAAGAATTTTTATCCATTATCTCAGGCTTTCTGCTGAGATGTTATATAACTCTCAGTCCGGATGGGACCTGACAAATACGGTCTCCAGAAATATCTAAATTGTGTCGATGCGGGTATAACAACATATAATAATATAGAATATATGTAATGTCCATTTCCGATAGGACTGTCTCTCTCAGGCAGTAAAAACTCTCAGTAAATTTGACAAACAGAACGCTTTGGAACTTTTGGAACTTCTTTATCAGGCTTTCTTATAAAATGATAAATTTACTAGAGAGATTGTCTGATTCTCTGAAGACAAAGAGACATGAAAATATTTTCCAAAGTCAAAAAGCAAGGTCTTACGATCATGTTTATGTTCATTTTATTATGGTAATCATAATGTATCCGTGCGCGCGCGCGCGAGAGAGAGAGAGAGAGAGAGAGAGAGAGAGAGTGTGTGTGTGTGTGTGTGTGTGTGTGTGTGTGTGTGTGTGTGTGTGTGTGAATGCGTGCATGTGATTGCACGTGTTTGTGTGTGTCTCATTTTGTCGTCTTTCTGTATGTTTCTTTCACGTTTGTTGTCTCTTATGTATTTTTGTTTGTTTTTAATTCTAAATCCCGTCTCTGTTTTTCCTATTTCACCTTCTGCTCGTCTTTTTCTTTCTCTTTCTCTTTCCCTGGGTCTTTATCTTTCTCATTCAGTCACCCTATTTCTCAAAAACAAACTTTCCCTGCTTTCAAACAGGCAATCTTTACTCTTACGAATACGAGCAACAAACCGACAGTAGAAACATACAACAAATAAGCATAAAGACAAATAGACAAACAATGACAGTTTATTCCTAACAGCTCATCTACAACGTCAAAGACATTCTCAAAATCCAACTCAAGGACGAGGGCATATTGCCAGGTGACAGGTGTTCGAATCTTCTCTCTGATAGTGTTTTTGAAGAAGTGACCCAATAAATCCTGTATGTGGAAAAAGAGTAAAGGGTAGAAAACCTCAAACTGGTGTCTGTTGTGTAGTGACCAGGTGCTTCACTGTCGCACGCAGGAGACCCGAGTTCGATTCCCGAGTGGGGAGAAATTTTTAGCTGGGATGTTGAATCTCTCTCAGCCCTGATTAGCCCTGCCAAGCATGGTCGGAAACTCGCTTCCAAAATTATTTAAATTGTGTTGATGGGGGTGTTAAAATAGCTACATAAAAAACACAAACACAAACTCAGAGTTATTATAAATGACGTATCTGTTTATTCCTCTATAATAGGGTAGATGAACATCCGTGCTTGTCTACAGCTGATCAACACCCAGCTAATCGAAGGCCTGTGCGTACAAACCATGACCTAGTTTAGATGAAAACCTCTACTGCGTCTGCGAACACGTCTGGAAGACGCTGGTTTGGGAAACCCGCGGTCTTTGATGAGCTGCTGATAGAAGGTTGCCGAGGAACGCGGGGTTCGAGTCCTGTTTGGGCTGTTGAAGTCGACGTGGTAGAGGCCGAACTTGGCGTAGTAGCCGCTGGTCCACTCCAGGTTGTCCATCAGTGACCACGCCGTGTAACCTTTGACCCTGACCCCATCCAGTTTGATCGCTGAAGCAAAAGGAAAAGTATCATCATCAGAAAGTTATTTACGAGTATGTATGTTTTTTAAGCCCCCATCAACACAATTTAGATCTGTTAGGAGCTTGGCTTGAAACCCTCCCTTTGGGAGTAAACCGGACTGAGAGGGATACAACATCCTATCAGAAAGACGTAGAGACTCAGTAAAAATGTATCCCCACTCGGGAACCAAACTTGTGTCTCCTGCGTGCAACAACGATACTCCTAACCGCTATACCACAGAGGCAGGTCATCGTAAATTGTCAGACCTGAATCAGACGTCAGTGGCCATGGTTCTCTATTCGTTTCTCCGCTCGAATGCTCTAACAAAACGCATTTTATTGTTTCCCAGTCACCTGTTTGTTCAGGTTTTCCAAAAACGGTTCTCTGGGTCTACCCCTGTCTTTTTTGGCTTCTATTTTTCAAATTAGAGCAAGACATTGAAAGCCCTTTTGTTGAGTTAAGTATCAAGAGTCAAATCGAGGAAAGTAGAAAATACATGTTTCGATTTGTTCCTTGATACTGTTGTCATTAATTATCAGCTCACATCGAGCCTGATCATGTAGAAGATTAAAAGTGAATCTCATTTTGATTTTCACGCAAAAGTACGAGTGTATGGTGTTATTTTTGTTCTTGAACTCCTGTCTGTCCCTTGCCACTTCTTTTTTATTAAGTACCACCCCCCCCCCCAAAAATGGTGTGTCTTCGAGAATGACCACCAGACTTCGCGTCTTCATTGGGTAAGAGCAGAAACTAACCCCTCACATTATAGAAACAAACTCCCACCTTTGAGCAACTCGTTGATGTAGTACTTGTAGTAGTAGATGCGTCCGTCGTCAGTGAGGTCTTCCCCGTCCGGACGTCCACTCTCGCTGATGATGATCTCCGGGTTGTGGTAGTGGTCACGTGCCCATCTCAGCAGATTCCGGATACCCCAGGGGTTCACCTTGAGCCACGACGCGTCGGTGCTAAAGTAATATCACAGAGAGAACGCATTATTTACCAAGTTTCATGCTAGGTTTTTGGACAGTTGGCCCTGGTTTGAACCCTCAATAGGGCATTCCTGAACTAAAGTCGTTTGAGGAGTTTTGGAGGCAGGATCCTATGGGAAGTGGATTGTACTCGGATGTCCCGCCTACTAGCTAATATAAAATAATCGTTATAATCATATGATTACCAATATCTTTACAGACACAATAATGTTTGTTCTGGTAGGATTCAAGACAGTTCTTGCCAACCTTCAGTGGTGGGGTGGAGGGGGGGGGCACATTACTCTTTGGTGGGTGATTTGGTATTTTTTTGAGCGGTGCCATTGGGATGACGGGTGCGAAGTGTGGACAATCAATAAACAGCTGGAAAAAACGATTGTTGCGGCAGAGTTGTGGTTCATGAGACGCATGCTACGTATCCCATGGACAGCTAGAAAAACAAATGAAGAAGTCCTGGTTGAAGCAAATTATAGAAAACAACTTATCACGAATATAAGAAAACGACAGGCAATTTTTTTCGGTCACACAATGCGGAAAGAAACATTAGAGAACATTGTAACAACAGGAAAGTTTGATGGAAAGAGAGGTAGAGGCAGACAGAGGGAAAAGATACTGGACAAGATGACAACATGGCTGGGAGCAGCAAGAACAACAGACACCATTGCTGCTTCGAAAGACAGATGGAAGTGGAGGTCCATGTTCGCCCACGCCAGTCGGCAAGGCACCGGATGATGATGATTGGGATCTCCGAGAAGTGACAGGTGTTATATGTTAATGGCCGTCTTGAAAGTACATACGGGTGAGCTGCATGAAAACTTTAGACTAAGTGTTATATCATGCTCCTTGCTCTAAAACCAGAGCTTGGCAATCTTTCTATAGCCGGCGCCCACTTTTTGCCACTTTCAATAGGCTACAATTTTCATTCAGCCCACCCATACGTATTTTCTAGAGGGGGAAAAATAGTCGTATAACAGAGACGACCAGGTATGACGGCCGGTGTCTGTGGTGTAGCGGTTAGGTGCTTCACAATAGAACACAGAAGACTCGGGTCTGTTTCTAGTGTGGGGAAAATTTTTATCAAGTATCTGCTGGGGTGTTGTATCTCACTCATCCCGGATTGGCCTTGACAGGCAGGGTCGGAAGTTCAACTCCTTAAATAATTTAGATTGTGTCGATGAGGGCGTAAAACCCTTCATCTAAAGATGGTCAAGTATATGTATGATTGAGACTTACTAACAAAACCTGTACTGACTTACTCTGGCCAGCAGGGATCGTAACGGGTGTCGATGTTCTGGTCCTGCTCGTAGTTGGGCTGAGAGTTCGGCCTGGGCTGGTTGTTCACCAGGTTTGTCGTGTAGTGGTTCATGGCCAGGAAGTCGTAGGCGCCTACGGGTGGGTGGATTGTGGGAGGGGGAGGGAGTAGAAACTACATAGAGTTAGAAAACGGCAGGTTGGACCTCTGGAAAGAACAGGTTTGTTTAAGAGATGTTTCACGTACATAGAAATGGACGGGATTGGTTACATAGAGTTGGTAATCGACAAGTTGAACTTCAGAGACGAACACGTTTATGGTGAGCTTTTTACCGGATGATATGTATGTAAACATAGGTGGACGGCTTCTTCTTCTTCTTCTTCTTCTTCTTTTTCTTCTTCTTCTTCTTCTTCTTCTTCTTCTTCTTCTTCTTCTTCTTCTTCTTCTTCTTCTTCTTTGCGTTTCCCCACTAGATCTCAGGGGTAGTTGATTTTAAAAAGCAGCACAATTATTGATTTCAACGTATGTGACCGTTTGTTGTTGTTTTTGTTTTTTACTTCTTGCCACTAGGAAGACACATTTCAATTTTGAAGGTACTCTATGCGTTTTTATACTGAGGAGAGGATTTTCAGTTTTAGAAGGAATTTTGAATGTTGCCCTGATGGCGATCGAATCCTACTCTTATCGATTTTAGAACCACCAAGAGATCTTTAACGTGCGATACACTGTAAGGTTATTTAATGATCAGGACCTCCAAAATTAAGATCCACCTCATGAGAATAAAACAAGTGGTCGGATGAATTCGGGGAAAGTACCTTTCCCAAAGGCACAACTTAGGACCGAGCGATTGGGGCGTTTCAGAACTTGGTTCGTTAGGGAAGATTTAAAGACTCCACACCTACTGTGCTAGGTTCTTTCAGACAAAGACGTTATAGTCGGAGGTTCCGCCTCATAAGGGTACATAACCTTGTGTGGAAGGAAACGACATCAAGCCGTTTCAGACTGGTGGAACAGGAATGGAGCCATACAGAAGACTGAAATCACTCTCTGTGAAAACAGTACAACCATGTAGTTGAGTGATTCGCTCTACATCAGAACCCAATCCTCCTCGCCTGATCCTTTCAAATCAACTACAGTATACATGCATTATTAATATGCAGTCTTGGTGTACATAACTGTTCACCTTTATTGAGATTTTTCTCGGCCTCTGTAAACCTGGGCAGTCTAGATTTGGCCAGCCCTTGTCTCTTGCTCTTCTCGTCCACAAGCTGTCTCATTACTTGGGGGTAGTCGCCGGACCCCGCAAAGATGGCGTTAGCAAACCTGGAGAGAGGAAATAGAAATATTATTTATTTTCAAATCATCATCGCCAAGTGCTAGATCTGCGACAGACATCGTCAATCATGCTTCGCCATTCATTCTTTTGCCTGGACGTTCTCAAAAAAGCTATACTATTACTATTACATATTATCATCCGGGTCACTCACAAACACCGACACACACACACACACACACACACACACACACACACACACACACACACACACACACACATAACTCACCAGCCCAGCTTGAACTGCATAGCTCTGTCAGCGGCCGCGGCGTCTTCACTGGAGTCGGTCAAAGGTTCTTTCCACTCTATGTCTAGGGTGATGCCGACCTTACCTAGGATAGGAACATAGAAGAATATTATCCTAGACCGGCCAATGTCATGGCCATCCATCGACTTATATTATTATATCCTAGACTGGCTACTGTCATGGCCGCCGTTATTCCACTCTATTGCCAGGGTGGTGCCGACAATACGTAAAATAGGAGCATAGACTTGTAGTACAATATCTTAGATCAGCCACTGCCATGGTCACCGTTCTTTGCAGTCTTTATTTAGAGTGTGCCGACCTTACCTAGAATAGGATCATAGATTTGTGATACAACATGTTAGACCGGCCACTGGCAATGCCATCTATAGACTTGTATTATAATATCCTAGGACGGCCACTGTCATGGCCGCTTTTCTTTCCACTCTAATTCTAGGGGCAACCTTGCTTAGAATAGAATCATAGACTTGTAGTAGAATATCCTATACCCTCCACTGCCGTGGCCGCCCTTAGATTTATATTATAATATCCTAGAATGGTCACTGTCATGGCCATGGCCGCCGTCTTTTTTAACCACTCAGTGTCTACTGTGATGCCGACCTTACATAGGATAGGACCATAGACTTGTTGTAGAATATCCTAGACCGGCCACTCCATGTCGAGGGTGATGCCTACTTTACTTAGGATAGAACACGCAAAAAGAACTATTTGCCGATGGCAATCCTGATTTTTTTCATATTTTGTTCATACTCCTTTAAGCACAGGTTAGGGGAGAGAGAGAGAGGGGGGAAGAGAGAGAGAGAGAGAGAGAGAGAGAGAGAGAGAGGGGGGGGGATGGGGAGTGGGGACGAATTCGATCGTGACCTTCCTATATTTTCAAGGTCGCCAGTCTAATGATCAGATGTGAACAATGTTGGCACTGAATGCGATAAATAGACAGTGTAGATTTGTAGAAGCTAGTTCATATCTGTCTAAAAAGCTATTGACAGTTCCTATGACTGTAGGATTCAAGAACCTCTCAATACAGCAACCGCGATATGCGGCTGTCGGCTCTTGAAGCCGTTATAAGAAGTAAAGCCTGAGCTGTGAACGGTAAGTTTTATGTTCAGCAACACTGTGCACCGGTCCAAGTGTTCTATTACTCTCAAATTTGACACAACAAGGGAGGGGTCTATCAAGAGTGTGCACTGAAGCCGTCAGTATCGATTTGACCCGACCTGATCCGATGCGAAGTGGGCACCCAGTATAGGAGAACATTATGAGAAAACATTCACCCTTTGAATGGGCTTCTAAGCTTTAAATGAACTATACCCCGGGCTCCTGAGAATTTAATTTAATTTTTAGGGGTACTTTTCTAAAGATCATTTTAGTGTTCATCGGATCTAAAATCTCTTTTTTTTTCCCCTTTTCTTTTTTTTTGGGGGGGGGGGTTGTTTTAACATCGCTATGCCGTTGTATTCATACTGCTGTTTCGTATTTGTATTCTATTTCTGCAAATACACATTGTAATTAGGTGGGTGTGTCATACCAATATTTCAGTACCCCATGGTGTTTGTCGCGATGCTTACATACTGATATTTCAGTACAGAGGGTTTAAAAGGGTAAGCTAACTAGCTACATACCTTTATACTTTGCCTGGAAGTTGTTGCTGTAGAGGTGGTAGGCGCGGCTGTGGGAGCGGATGATGTTGTGGGCCACCATGTAGGGCGAGGTGCCGGGGTCGTTGATGCCTGGGGCGAAGATGCCGATACCATAGCCCAGCCAACTGACCACAAACGCCTCGTTGAAGGTGATCCAGTACTTGACCTGAGTGGTGGGGTCAAAGGTTAGAGAGTGCATCCAAGGTATAGGGTGTCGACAAACAAGAGGAGTCACTTTAAAAGGGCAATAACTCGGTCATCTCAGCACTAATTTAAACCCACAAATACCTCCTACAGGGAGATGAGAAGCCGTTCTGTGTCGGATGCGACACAGATTTTACCATTAAACACATTTTAACAGAATGTCTAGACTTTGGAGAGATCCGAAGGAAATATTATAAATGCAAGAAATTGCAGGATATTTTTTCCGTCGTTGTTCCCAGCAGAATTTTAAATTTTATAAAGGCCATTGGCATTTATGGCGAGTTGTAGAATGAATTTGATATTATTTCAGATTTTTATTGTTACTTAAAAGTTGTTTTAGATCACAAATGTATTTACACCGAATTTGAATATTTTAACTTTTTAGCATTTTAAAGTAAATTAGTTAGCCAGTCGTGAAGTGAACTTTCGAAGAGGTGAACAACTTGTGTTTCGCGCGCTCATATGACCTTAGCAGTTGCGAGCGCCGTAAAACCTTATACTATACATACATACATACATCTGGGGTTCTATGATATGTTTACTATGACAGTAGACAACCGATCTGGCTTGTTATCGTATACTTAAAGTTTACAAACAAAAGTACCCAAAAAGATCCAGTGCTCCAGTAATTTACCAGCACAATTTACCGTATCTCCAAACACGTTCAGAGTACAATACAAAATAGTTACCCTGTCTCCAAACTGTTCAAAGCAGAGTCTGGCGTATGCCTCAAACTGATCAACAACTGAGTCATTCTTCCAGCCGCCGTCATTCTGGTGGGAGAGTGCAATAAATGTTTAATATCACGTGACATTGTTCTGGCAATGAAAAGACTTAGACTATAATGAGTTGGATTTTGTTGAGGGTGGGGTGTTGTTGTTTGTTGGGTTTTTTTGTTGTTGTTGTGTTTTGTTGTTGTTGTTTTGTTGGGGGGGGGTTTACTTTTTGTTGGGGGGTTTTGGGGGGGAGGTTGTTGGGTTTTTAGGGGGGGGGGGGTCTATATCTTGGATATAAGTCGGAGAGAAGAAAATACAAACAATGAGGTGTGTCAGATTCTCATTACAAGACAAACCGTGCTGTATAAAGTAAAATGTATGTAAATACAATACTTTGGCCTCCTTAAACAAGACGAGACCATTGTGAAAGAGGTGCTTGGAGGAAGGATGTGGGGCAGGAGTGCCAGGAGAAGACAAAGAGTGACGTTGGCACCAAAGACCACTTCGACTGGCGACCTTAAAGAACAATAAATATATTTGATATTGAAGGTCACAGTCGAATTTAGTTGAGTTCAGTCATATTACACGTATTTTGCAATAGCAGCTTTTGCCCCCATCCCTGGAGGAAATAATTCTGGCAGGCCCCGGCTCTATCCCATGAATTCGACTGGTAGTGTGCACTGGATATAATGAAAAGATGATGCTAGTTGTGATAAGGGTTCCATCAAACACAAACACACACATACACACACACCTACACACAAACACACACAAACACACACACGTACAAAAACACACGCACGCACACGCACACACGTGCGCACACACACACACACACACTCACACACACACACACACACACACACACACACACACACACACACACACACACACACACACACACACATACACACACCTCCAAGGCCTGTGGCAAGTCCCAGTGGTAGAGAGTCACCACGGGAGTGATCCCAGCAGCTATAAGTGCGTCTATCAGTTTGTTGTAGTAGTCAATGCCGGCCTGGTTGGTGATAGCAGGTGTCCCGTCAGCCATCACCCGGCTCCAGGCGATGGAGAAACGGTAAAAGTTCACCTGGTGATACACAACGAAGCAGAGGACGGGTAAGTGAGTGCTTTAATTTATTTATTAATTAATCAATTAATTGATTATTTATTCAACCTGTCTGGTATCACACGGCTCCTGGCGATGGAGATAATGTAAAAGTTCACCCGGTGACACAGGACGAATTAAAAGACGAATGAATGAATGAATAAATGAATGAATGAATGAATGAATGAATAAATGAATGAATGAATGAATGAATGAATGAATGAGACACTGCATCTTAAGAGGCCTATAATTTGACAAAACGTACACAACACTATTTTTTCTGTAGTATATCTATTTCTACGTCCTTTATCGACACAATTTAAATTATTTTGGAGGCGGCCTTTCGAATTTGCCTGCAATAGCAAACCCGAGCTGAGATCTCAACAGAAAGAGCTAGATACTCGACGAATATTTTCCCACTCGGAAATCGAACTCAGGTCTCCTGCATGCGACAGCGAAGCGCTTGACCGCTACCCCGCTGACAATGACAATGACAATCTTTATTCATCTCTCAGGGAGAGTATATTTTTCTTTGGTCGTTTACAATGGCAGTGTATGTTACAAAGGTTAGGTGCACTCACGCATATACACAATTAGACAAGTAGGGAATACATGTTTTACGTGCTGAATCAATCTCGCTCGGTAAAACATTCTCTGTCTCCCTGTCTATCTATCTATCTATCTATCTATCTATCTATCTATCTCTCTCTCTCTCTCTCTCTCTCTCTCTCTCTCTCTCTCTCTCTCTCTCTC